CACACCAACAACACGCCAACAACACACCAACAACACGGCAACAACACAACAACACACCAACAACACACCAACAACACACCAACAACACACCACCTGTGTTTGTGTTTATTAAATGTTGTTGTTGGTTCTTTAGGACAGCTGCGCCCGAGTTCTGCTGTTCAGAGGAGTAAACAAGGACATCAAGAACTACAACAATCAGACGGCCTTTCAGGTAAACAAACAACAAACAAACAACTAGACTGCCTTTCACATAAACAAACAACTAGGCTACATTTCAGGTAAACAAACAAAGAAACAACTAGCCTCAGGTCTGAACAGGTTCTGGAGCTGCGTTCTGATTGGTTCAGACGTGACGCACCTGTCGTGTTTCAACAGGTGGCGATCATCGCAGGAAACTTCGATCTCGCTGAAATCATCAAGATCCACAAATCGTCTGATGTCGGTGAGTTTAAACGCATCACAGCCCGGTCCTGGTCCTGGTCCTGGTCCTGGTCCTGGTCCTGGTCCTGGTTCTGTGCAGACGTTAGTATCTTACCTGTTGTAGAAATATTAATTAATTCTGACAGACTGATGAGCTAAAGGCTAGTCAGAATACAGCTTTGACTGAAACCAGTTTATAAATCTTTTTATCACTGGTATTTAGGCAAACACAGGAAGTGCTAYAGCTAGCTGCTGCTGTGTGWGAGTTGTGTTAAAATGTTTGGGACTAGCTGTTAGCTCGTCAGTCCTGTCAGAATAAAACTGCAGGTAAGATACTGATGTTTATTGATTGTAGACAGAAACAAAGCTCTACAGTTTGGGCTGCAGGGTTTTCTGTAAATAAAGATGCTTTTATACATGAACAGGAYCAGAACCAGGACCAGAACCAGGACCAGGACCTGGGTCCTGACCCACACGGCWGCTGAAGGAGGGTTTTAAAGTTCCRTCTGTCTTTTTGTGTCCAAGCAGTTCCCTTCAGAGAAACCCCGTCCTACACCAAGCGCCGGCGGGTCGGCGCCACCAGAACCGCAGCAGGAAATGGGCTGTCCTCGCCCCGCTCCCTCATCCGCTCGGCTAGTGACAACGCCTTGGAGAGCCCCGCCTCCTCGCCCGGCCCCTCCCTCCAGAGCCTGGAGACGCACCACGACGCGCACACGCACTCCCTGAGACGCCACACACGCCGCCTCAGGTAGGTCCACCTGAGTGGGGTCAGAACCTCCTGAACAGGACTGGTGTGTGACCAGGTTCTGGTCTGTCCTGCAGTCCCAGTGGGGGTGCCCACGTGGAGTCCAGCCCCCCCTCCTCACCTCCCCCGACCCCGCAGATGAGGAAGAGGAGGCTGTACAGYGCCGTGCCGGGACGGACCTTCATCGCCACCCGGTCCCACGCCCCCCAGGGGGCCGGAGAGATYCAGCTGCACCGTGGAGAGAGGGTCAAAGGTGAGGGGGCGGGGCTAAAGCTGGGTCCAGTCTGTGGCGCTGGTTCTGACCCGGTCTGTCTCTGCAGTTCTGTCCATCGGTGAGGGGGGGTTCTGGGAGGGCAGCGTTAAAGGCAGAACCGGCTGGTTTCCTGCTGACTGTGTGGAGGAGGTCCAGATGAGACAGTACGACCCGCGACTCGGTAAACACTGCAGTACCACACACACACACACACACACACACACACACACACACACACACACACACACACACACACACACACACACACGTCAACATGTGGTGTGTGTGTTTCAGAGACGAGGGAGGACAGAACCAAGAGACTCTTCAGACATTACACCGTCGGATCGTATGACAACTACACCTCCTACAGGTGAGTCCCCCTCACTACACCTGAGAGCTAATGGACCAGAACCAGAACCAAGAACAGAGCTTCATAAGGACGGGTCAGGGTTCTTCAGTTCAACACGGTCCAAGTGGGTTCTGCAGGTTCTAAATGTTTCTCTGCTGTTTCAGAGAAACATGGAGGACAGAAGGTTCTGGAGACTTCTGGGTCAAAATGTTTCCCCTTCAGTCCATCWTCTGTAAAGTTTATATAAAGAAATATTTCTTTATGTTAAGAAAGAAAACTTTATACACATTAACATTAATGCTAACTCCACATTAGCATTAGCTCCATGTTATCATTAGCTCAGTGTTAGCATTAGCTCCTTGCTGCAATGTCTTTCAGAAGTCACTAATAGCAAATATAAATGAAGGACGAACTACCTGCTGCTAATAAGGTCCTTTCATGTAAAAGATTAAAGTGATTCAGACTAGCCATTAGCTCATCCTTCTGGTTTGGATGCATAAAGCTGAATTCTGATTGGATGGAAGAGCTAACGGCTAATTTTGTTGTAATACAGACCACTACAGAAGGTCKTTCCTGCCACAGCCATCAGCATCTACAATAACYCAGTCAATAAAGTTTTATAGAGTTATAGGGACCTTTTAACCCCTTCAGGCCTGAAGGGTTTTCAGAGGAGAGGAGTTGATGTTTAATAAAACGTTRTRTTTGTGTTTCAGCGACTACGTGATTGAGGAGAAGACCGCCATGCTGCAGAAGAGGGAGAGCGAAGGCTTCGGCTTCGTCCTCAGAGGAGCTAAAGGTCTGTTCTTCATCCAGGTCCTCCTCATCGTCACAGCTGCATGGACAGAAATGACC